GTTCTTTGTTTCTGTGATAGATCACTGAGTATGATTGACTCTAAATCCATTCAAGTTGCTGCAAAGTCTATATGTTTGTCCTTCTTTATGGCTGCATAATATTCCATTGTGTATATGTACCACTTTTTTTTTTTTTATTAAGTCCAGCTTCAATGGGCAACATGGTTGTTTCCATATTTCTGCCATTGTGAACAGAGCTGCAACAAACATATGTGTGCAGGTACCTTTTTTGTTGAATGACTTGAGTGAGGGGAACATTTTAAAAATGAGTATGGCATAATACAGGATTATATTCATCAGTTTCAAACTGCTGTTAAGAAACATGCACACGTTTATAACTACACTGTTCACAATAGCAAAAACATGAAACCAACCCTACTGCCCATCAAAAGTAGACCGGATAAAGAAAATGTAGTGCATATACACAGTGGAGTATTACACAGCCATAAAGAAGAACAGAATCATGGACTTTGCAGCAAAGTGGATGGAGTTGGAGACTATCATACTGAGTGATCTGTCCCAGAAACAACTGAATACCGAATGGCCACACGCATAAGTGAACCCTAAACACCAGTCACATTAGCGCAAGGGCGGGATTAGCAGCTGTTGCACACTGCTGGGGGAGGAGGGGAGAGTGTAGCATCGCAAAGCGTCCCTGGTCCTAAACCAGGGGAAGCAAGGGCCAGTTGGAGGTCCAGACTTCATCTGCATGCAGCCTGCTTGTGTAGCTAATCCTAACTTGTCCCAACATATCTATAGTAAAATAAAACAACAGACACAACTGCTGTTAGGAGAAGAGTGAGTCTCCTGTGTTGCTTTCATGTATTCAGACAAATACCTTTAAAAAAAATAGGTGAAAATTTTCAGCCTATATGAAGGATAAGTTGCATATGAGGGCCTGAATTAATGATGCAGTAGAGATGTTCAATTTCCTGTCATAAACGATCATTGGAAAGTGATAGACTCTGGCCGGGCTCGGTGGCTCAGCCTATAATCCCAGCACTTTGGGAGGCCAAGGCAAGTGAATTGCCTGAGCCTGGGTGTTTGAGACGAGCCCGGGCAACTTGGTGAGACCCCATCTCTACAATAAATAAATTAATTAATTAACTGGTCATGGTAGCACGCACCTGCAGTTTCAGCTACTTGGAAAGCTGAGGCGGAAGGATCACCTAAGCTCAGCAGGTCAAGGCTGCAGTGGTTGTGAGCGTGCCACTGCACTCCAGCCTGAGTGACAAGAGTGAGACTCCAACTTCAAAAAAGAAAAAGAAAAATGATAGGCTCAAACTTGGTTTTGGAGACCATCAAACTTGTTTATGCCCCTAGATTGATTATTTTAAGTTTAAAGTGTTCACCCTTTATCTGATTTGGCAATGAACTAGTTACCCTCACAAAATAGTATTTCAACCTGTTACCATGTGAATTTACTGAATTTGTCAAGAAAGATAAGTCTCCAGATTGGAGATGTGGATATTAACAATATCTTGGCTGGAGAAAGCAACAAATGGAATATGTGAAAATGACTTTGGTATGAGTAAAATATTTGCTGCCATTATATATAAACGATACATGTACAGGTTGAGATCCCTACTCCGAATATCCAAACTCTGAAGTCCTCCAGCGAGTGTTTTCCTTTGAGCATCATGTAGGTGCTCACAAAATTTCAGAGTTTGGAGCATTTCTGATTTTGCATTTTCAGATTAGGAATGGTCAACCTGTACTCATATGATATATTCAAAACAATATAAAATGGAATTGCCTCGTGTGGTTTGTCATTTTTTTTAATTAAAATAAAGCTGCTACAGTTACAGTTAAATTTGGTTTGCCTGGAACTCCTAGAGGCTGAATCCTGGATAATAAGATTCCATATGGCCTAATTTTCAAATACTTGGCCAGGTTTTCCCTGCGGTTTAAATTTTGCTCTGAAATATGTTTCCTAATTTCTTTACTTTTTTTTTTTTTTTGAGTTGGAGTCTCACTCTGTCGCCCAGACTGGAGTGCAGTAGCCACTTCCAGCCACTGCAGCCTCGACCTGCTGGGTCCCGGTGATCCTTCCGCCTCAGCCTTCCGAGTAGCCGGAATTACAGGCATGTGCTACCATGCCCGGCTGATTTTTTGATTTATTGTAGAGATGAGGTCTCGCCGAGTTGCCCAGGCGGGTCTCTAACCCGCGGGCTCAGGCAATCCACTCACCTCAGCCTCCCAAAGCGTGGGACTACAGACTGAGCCACCGAGCCTGGCTCTTCACTTTCTTAAATAAAGTAAATGAAAATTTTTCTTTTCCTTTATGGCCCAGGTTGTAATTTGTGTCTCTTATTGTGCTGTACAGCAGTGAAAGTTTGTAGGGTTGCTTGTCCCTCATGAAAAAGCTATAAGGTGTTTTGAGATCTTGTCTGTGCATCATGTCCTTTTTAACCTATTTCTTTCTGATGCCTGTCACTTTTTGCTCCTGAGCTTATAGCAGCCTCTTTTAAATGCCAAAGGTTTTGAAAGCAGACTGCCCTTCTCTTATACATATGACATAGGAGTACCTAGGCTCAAAGTATTGACTTATAGTGTGCCTGACTTAGTAAACATTTATTGGTTGAATGAATATTGTAATATCATCCTGTGTTGCTTAACAACAGGAATATGTTCTGAGAATGTGTCATTAGGCATTTCCTATGCAAACATCATAGAAACAAACATCATACTTAATCAAATCTAGATAGTATAGCATGCAACACACCTGGGCTGTAAACCTGTACAGGATGTTACTGTACTGAATACTGTAGGCAATTGTAACACAATGGCAAATATTTGTATATGTAAACATAGAAAAGGCACAGTAAAAATTCAGTATTATAATTTTACAGGACAGCCATCATAGATGCAGTCTGCTGTTGACGGAAACATTGTGCAGCCTATAACTGTATTTACAAAATTGTCAAACATACTCTTTCATAATCTTCTGAGGAGGAGAGGTGTTTGTGAGGAGAGAAATTTACATTGGCATTTTCCAAAGATAATTATCATAACATCTTACAATTTAAGAACTTGAAGGTACCACAGTAAAATTGTATATCAGGCTGTAGCCTTCTGCAGCCAACCCTTACCAGGCAAAGATCCAAGCCATTTGCTGTCATCTCAAAGGGAGAAACACAGCTGTCAGTGGACTCCCTTCCTTCTGCTAATAATTTTATCTTTAGTCCTCCTCTAACTGTGGTATCTTTACTGAACTAAAAGCTTCAAGGAAATGAAAAGTACTTCTTCACAATTGAATGTTGACCAAATCCATGCTATCCAAATATGATAAAACCCTGGTTATCTAGTAATGGTTTAATATAAAAGTAAGATTATACTTTATAAATAGTTCCCTAATGTAAATCTTCATTTATCTCATTTTTTATTCTTCCTGCATTCTTTTATTCTTCCCCAAGTATCAGGTAAACAGACGGGTTAGGTATTTGGGAATTGGAATGTCACACTGCCACAATTCCTTTCCCTTCACCCCATTTTTTTTAAAAATTAGAGTTTCACTTTGTCCTACAGGTTTGAATGCAGTGGCATGATCACTGACACCGCAACCTCGACCTACTAGGCTCAGACGATTCTTCTGCTTCAGCCTTCCAAGTAACTGAAACTACAGGCACTCATCACCTTGACCGACTAATTTTTTTATTTTTTGCAGGGATGAGGTCTTGCCTGGTTTCCTAGGCTGGTCTCGAACCCTTGCCTCAGCCTCCCAAAGTACTGGAATTATAAGTGTGAACTATGGTGCCCGGTCCCAATTTTTCTTTTAAAGACCTTTAAAAAAAAATACTTTTAGAGTCCTGTACTAAATAACTACTTCTTGAGGTCTGGACAAAGTGGTAAAGTAAGCAGACTTTCTTTGACTTCCTTATATAAAGCTCTTTTACATTCTGGTCACTGGCTATAGCTTTTACTTTTTCTCCTGTATCCCATTCCATTGGACAGTGAAGTCTCTTCATTCCTTTGTTGATGGATTTAGGTTGTTTCTAATTTTCTTTTTTCAGCTAAAAATGTTGTATTGAGCATCTTTATACATATATTTGCCTGCCTGTTTAAGAGTATCTACAGGATAGCTTCCTAGAATTTGTTTTGCTAAGACAAACGTTATGTACTTTTAACATTTTGATATATGTTATCAAATGATGCTTTGAACAATAAGAACAGCATTTTGGGAGGCGGAGGTGAGAGGACTGCCTGAGCCCAGGGTTTCAAGATCAGCCTGGGCAACTTGGTGAGAGCGCGAGTCTACAATAAATTAAAAAAAAAAAAAAAAAACTAGCCCAGGCATGGTGGTACACGTTTTGTGGTTCCAGCTACTTGGAAGTCTGAAGTGAAAGGATTGCCTGAGCCCAGCAAGTCAAGGCTGCAGTGGCTGTGAGTGTGCCCTGCACTCCAACCTAGGCAACAGAGTGAGACTCCAACTTAAAAAAAAAAAACAAAAAACAACAAATTTATAAGCCTGCTGCCAGTATATGAGCTTCATTTTTCCTACATTTTCAATGGCATAGTCACTTGATTGATCCAGAGAACATGAGCTATAAAGTAATAAATCCCAAGGTTAGTTTATATTATCTTTGATTTATGACTTACAAAAATAGACTTTTAATATTTTCCTTTTGTTTCCAAGCCTATTCAGTTATGAAATGTGCTATCAAAACAAGGCAATCCTTTTGTTGTTGTTGCTATTACAGGCATGAAGCATCTTTCAAGGAAGTTACTTTCTCATTTATTGCCAAGTACTTCTCTCCTTGAATATTTTTTATATGACCTGCCAAGTCAGAATATTTACCTCGAATGCTTGCTCTTTTAACTTGGAGTTCCCTTTGCTAAAATTTACATATGATCACTTTGAAATACCTCTAAGTTTTACTGAGCAACTAACACTGATTATAATGGTGATTGACCCATAATTTAAATCATAATACAGGCAACTTTATTAATCCAAACAAACAGTGAAATCTGAGCTTTATTTACTTTTCACTTGCTTGCTTGCAGGTGGATTCGCCAATGAACTTGAAGCATCCTCATGACTTAGTCATATTAATGAGACAAGAAACAACAGTTAACTACCTCAAAGAATTAGAGGTGAGGCAAGTGGTAATGGGAAATGTGACTGAAACTTGTTGCATTTCACAGGAGCTATTGTGTTCAAAGGAAAGCTAAAGCATATTATTTCATAAGCCTGATTCTTCTGACTTTTGTAGAAATATACTACCTTTAGATCATGTTTTTTTTAATCCTCCCTTCAAAGTGATATTTGACTAATAGTAAGAGAAACAGACTACCTTACCCAGGGTATATGCCTGCCTCTTAACTCACTCATGTTTAAACCAAATTTCTATGTTTAAGTTTTTTCACCAAATATGAAGAGGATATCATCTCTGAGGATAGTTTAAAAAGAAGAATATGAAAGGGGAGAAAGGTTTCAATAGCCTAAAAGTGTGATTTTTGTGCATTCCTAAGAAGTAAAAAGTAAGGTCTTTCTTCCTATTATGTCTTCTTATGGTTGAGGCGAAAACACTTTGTACTTGAAAACTTGAAACTTATTAATTCTAATAAAATCTGACCTTTTTGCTTAATAGACAAATAAAGCAGCAATTTTACCTTTCTTTATCATTAATTTCCATAAACTGGGTATTGCTTCAGAGCAAACAGTATTTATTACTTGAAAAACTGGTTTTTTTTTCTTATGAAATCTCTGCTTGAAAGTTACAGTATAGATTGAACCCAAATTTTAAGGAAACTATAAGTCATAGAAAGAGTAAACCAAATTGCAAAATGAGAGTTAGGAAATTATTGGGATAATAAGAATAGAGTCAGCATACTTGAGAGCTACAAGGAATCATTTTAGAGGTGAAGAAACAATTAGACCTAAAAACATGTATTGCCAGAGTTTACAAAGATACGGCAGGATCAGAAACAAAACCCATATCTCTGGACTTAAAAGCTGTCTCACCTGTTAAACCAGGTTTGCATTTATCTGCTTTATGTAAAAGCCCCAAATTTTACTGGTACATTTATCAACATATGTATGTCTATAAGTAGTTATATACTTTTAAGCTCTGCATAGGTAGTAGTATATTTAGAATATTTATAAAACTCGAACACTTCAACATTTTAAAAATAGCCTCTCACCTTTTTCCTACTGGTTTTATCACTTAAATTTAGATATGTTGATTTTTATCAATACCAATAATTTGATAATGGATATATTCGTAGTGCTTCATGCTTGGAAGCATGGAAGCATGGTCTGTTTTTATTTAAACACAGTGTTCAGAAAGATGCAATAGTGCAGAAAATAGTTTTTATTTTCAGATACATAAGCACATTATATGTATTTATTGTTGTCTCTTTTTTAGAAGACAGTGTGAAATAAAGAGAAGGAGCTTTAGATTAAAGGATATATAGGGAAAATGTCATTTCTGAAGTCACTGAAAATGAAATGAAAAACATTTACTCCACCAATTTGTGATTAAGGTAGTGTGGGAGTTCATGCTTAGTATACACCTTCTGCTTCATATACACAGCACTGACAGTTAATATATAGAAATAAAAATCAAAATAAAATGTAGCCAGGTTTAAAAGCAATATAAGCATCTCCATGAGCCGGAAATGGTGGACAGAAATACTAAATTGGGAATGTGTCCAAAGCTATAGCTGTTGGGCTCCAAGGAACAATTGTGGTGTCTGGTGTTCGGCTCTGTGGAGTTAAGGGAACTGATAATATTCCACACAAAATGTAGGGACAGAACTAGGCTTACTGCTGGAAGACTGGGGTAGATCCATTCTGGTCATAGAGTCTAGCAAAAACACAGCTGAAAGACAAGCCAAAACCTGATGACTAGAAAAGAACCAAATCATCTATAGTCCAGCAATTGCATCTTCAACTTCCTGAGTGTCATTTTAGTATAGGATATTACTTTGGGGTAGAAATTTCAAACCAAAATTGTAAGATCTGGTTCTGGACTTGAGACCTGGGTAGAACCTGGAAACAACCACAAAAATGATTAGAATGGTCATGGAGTGATTGGAAAGAAAGAGGCAGACAGAGATGGAGAGTATGAGGGAACACTCCAGGAACCCCAAATCTTGGATTTTTGACCCAAATGACTGCAAGGATGAAGTTAATATTAGCTGAGATAGAGAAGACTGAAGGAGGTACAGGATGGGGGAGGAGTTTAGCTTTAATATGTTAAGTTTGAGATGCCTATTAGGCATCCAGGAACAGGCATCAAGTAAGGAGTTGGTTCTTCCGAGTGTGAACTCAAGGGAAAAAGTCCAGGCTGAAGATTTAAATTTGATAGTCATTGACAGAGTTAAAGACATGGACTAGATAAAACAGTTTATCTGCCAAGTAGTGACAACTAAATGGACTTCCTGGCTATCAAGATAATGGAGGAATAGTCTCACAGTTCTTCGGAAATCAGTCATACTTAAATTTTATATCCTTTTAAACTATCATTCAAGAATGAGAATGAGGACAAAGTAAAGATCTTTTCTGACAAAGACAGCTTACTACACATACCCTCACTTCACTTGGGGAAAAAAAAGCATTAAGGATATATTGATCTTTGTCTTTCTGTATCTTATTTAAAATATTGAGTAGAGGTCCGTAGGCTTCATCAGAATGTCAAAGAAGTCCATGACACAAAAAGATTACCCTGGATCATGCTGTCAATATTCAGGAAATACAGAAGACAGAGAAATTTTGGAGTTACAGTCAGCAAATTTCTATAGTGTGGAAAAACTCTGCAGAACAAATAACCCAATATCTTTAACAAATAAATTACAAAGGGGGTAGAAATAGAGGGATAACCAGTAGGTGACAAGCCAGCCAGTTGCAGTGTGTGTGGACTGCATTGGATTCTGATTCAAACAAGCAGTATTTTAAACAGAGGGGCGAAACCATTGGGAGTTTGAACACAGACTGGATATTTTATATTAGGGAATGAATATGATATGATTGATATTAAGGAATTATGTGGTAATCTTTTAAAAACATAAGGAATATTTGCTGATGAAAAACTTAACCAAAAAGAACAATAAAAGTAAGGGCAAGCACTAAAATAATAGAAATGCCATCTATAGTTTCCAAACCTACAAATAAAGAGAGGATGCAGGAAAAAGGGAAGAAGTGTAGAAAGTGTTATCCACACATGGCAGGCAGGAAAGAGAAAAAAAAGCAAAGAGAAAGAATGATAAACATACAATCCAAAACAATATGGTAAAAATAAATCCAAATAGACTAGTAATCACAACAACTATACACAGATTAAACTTGTTAATTAAACATTACCGTATGATAGATATATGTTATCCCTGTGTATTTTTGAAAAAAATTTATACTTTACAAGTGTCAGAAATTCACCTGGAAGACACAGGTGGCCGTAGTATCTTGCTCTGTATCTTGAAGGACTGAAACAACTTGTTGGGTTTGGACAATTCAAGGAAGTTTTCATTGCAGAGCCGTTCTGTGCCAGGAAAATTAAGTTGGTAGATGTGCCCAAAAGGGTACTCCAAAATAATATGAAGGCTCTCATGTGCTAATATAATAAATGTCGTATTCTGTTTCTGAATGTGGACATCTTTTTAGAGAAGCTTACGTATGTTGACCAACTAAGGGCATTTTCTTTCCTTCATAGAGAATTCTCTGACTTCTTCAACTCATTAAATTCTTCATTCTCTTCAGTGGTAATTGGACTGAAATATTAGAAGAATCCATTTTATTCTTATTTTCTTCTCAACAGAAACAATTAGTTGCTCAAAAAATCCACATAGAAGAGAATGAAGACAGAGACACAGGACTGGAACAGAGACATAATAAAGAAGATCCAGACTGCATCAGAGCCAAGGTGCCCTTAGGGGACCTGGATCTGTATGATGGTACATACATAACTTTGGAGAGCAAAGACATCAGGTAAAGAATTTCATTCTTTCCAAAAATGAAATTGTTTTTTCAACAGACCTTTTCTCACATCAGTAAGAAATTGTTTCTGTAATAAAATAAAGCTTCAATCACGGATTGTCTTTTGGAACTTCAAAGTTCAAAATATATACTACATGAATAATTCTTACAAATTAATTAAAAATATTTAACATTACATTAGAAAGTCGAACAACTTATAGTAAAAAAAAAAACTACAAATGATCAAAAAAATGTGGAAAAAGTATCAGAAATTATCCAGTAAGTACAAATTAAAACATAATTTTTATCTACCAAGTGAGAAAAAATATCCGAAAATCAGTAACTGGTAAATAGCCAGAGAGACTGTCAGTAGGAATGTAAATTGTTTAACATTTCTAGAAATACTTTAGCAGTTATATTCATTTTTTAAAAGTCTACAATCTTGGCCATGCTTCTGTGTAAGCTCTGCCTCCCTCCCCAATCTGGCAGAGGTAAATCCCCCTTTTCTCTTTCTCTCTCTAATCTACTTTCTAAATAAACTACATTTTCCAACCTAAAAAAAAAAAGTACACGATCTTAACTTTCTATGACCTTCCTACTATTTTCCCTGTAATTCTTGACTTACCCCTTGCATTTGAACTCCTCAAATATTTGACTCTGAAGGCCAGCTATGTGAAAAGGTGTGGATATTGACTAATTGGTTGTAAAGTTGAGATGCTATGAAAAGATGGGAACATTTTGACACTTATTAATATATTGTTTGTTAGCCCTTTCATTCATTCATTGCTTCTTGATTTTAGCCCTGAAGATTATATAGACACAGAATCTCCTGTCCCTACAGACCCTGAGCAACCTGATTGTACTAAAATTCTAGAACTTCCATATAGTATACATGCTTTTCAGCATTTGCGCGTAAGTAGAGAATTTTAGAATTTTTTTTTGCATTTTTTTCTTTCATTTGATCTCTTGTTTATAAAAGCTGTTTCTTTCTTCTTTTTTTCCAAGCAACTTTACAAGTTTACAAACGTCTTCTAGTTCTTAAAATTTATTCAAAATAAGTGTTACAAAATACTGAAGTACTTGTGATCTTTTATCAACTTTGACTATATTTTTTTCAATCATTTTTCTTCTCTTCAGGGTGTACAAGAGAGAGTTAATCTTTCTGCACCTCTGTTACCTAAAGAAGATCCGATCTTCACTTATTTATCTAAACGGTTAGGAAGGAGTATAGATGATATAGGTCACCTCATTCATGAAGGCTTGCAGAAGGTAAGTCATCAATGACTTGAAGAACTAGGAAGCTCTCTGTAAACAAGATATTTTTCTCTCAGAAAATATCTGCCTCACTTGTTTTTGTCTAAGGTATGATTTAAAATTACAATTGCATTGGTATAAATTGTATAATTCAACACTAAAGAGAAACATAAATAAACTAGTCTCCTTTATCAGAAGAGATGCTGAAAAGTTTTATTAAATTCATTTATGAAAAAACATTATAAACTACTATAAGCAACAAGAGTTATAGGCTAGATTATTGAGTGCAGAAGCACATTTCATTTTTTAATGTCGTTGTTATATCTATACACAATATATTATCACTGTTCTGTGAACCAAAAAAGAATCTCTACCAGCAATAAAATCTTCTGTAATTTTCTTTTCTTTTCTTTTCTTTTTTTTTTTTTTTGTGAGTTGAAGTCTCACTCTGTTGCCCAGACTGGAGTGCAGTGGCCCCCCCAGCCACCGCAGCCTCAACCTGCTGGGCTCTGGCGATCCTTCCGCCTCAGCCTTCCAAGTAGCTGGAATTACAGGCGCACGCTACCACGCCCGGCTCATTTTTGACTTATTGTAGAGATGAGGTCTCGCCACGTTGCCCAGGCGGGTCTTGAACCCACGGGCTCAGGCAATTCACTCACCTCAGCCTCCCAGAGCACAGGACTACAGGCTGAGCCACCAAGCCCAGCCTATAATTTTCTTCTATGGAAATATCTACTTTAAAAAAAATGAAATAGGGAATTATGTAACAGGACCCAAGAATTTAAATGTATCATTCAGGATAACATGTGAGAATTTAGAAAATGGTTTTTGCTCTTCTCTGTGCCTAAGGAGTATCATAAAATGCAGGTAGTTTCTAACAGTATTAATTACAGTGATATAAAATAAGGTGTATAATTGCAACATTTGTATAAAGTTTATTCAAATACATGACTGCATGTCAAGAAAGGAATTTTTGGATAAAAGTAAGAAAATAGTTTTACTTTCAAATGCATTATATGATTATTTTTGTAGCTAAGTTACCATCTTCATCTTGTTTTTCTGAAGGTAATGTAAAGCATTTGCATTCCCAGAACTTGATGAGTAATAGGGGAAAACTGGTCCAGCATTTTACAATATCCTTCAGAGGATGGTTAGTTGAGAGTAGACCATAGTGGTAAGTGTTCCATAGAAAATTAAAATAGAAGGTAACTGGGTGGCTGCTTTAGATCGAGCGGTTGGGGTTAACCTTTCTGGAATGGTGCAATTTAAGCTGACACTGAATGACAAGAAGGAACCAAAATTCAAAGATCAGGGATGAGCATTCTAGGCCAAAGCAAAGGTCCTAAAGACTGAATGAGCTCAGATGGTATGCTAGTCTGCTCAGGCTGCCATTACAGCATACCACTCTGGATCATTTCTACTCAAAGCACTTCTGAGGACAAATGTGCGGGGATTCTCCTCAAACAAACCAGTTCTCCAATTTTCCCCACACTAACTGGGTGTTGTGCAATTCAGTGCAGTTCTGCCACTAACTGTCTATAGTTAGCATAGAACTTGCAGGTTAAAGGCTCAGTCCCACAAGCCTGCCCCCACTTCAGATGCCGATCGCAAGTCAAGATCATTGGCCAACTGGCTGTAAAGTCGAGAAGTTCCCACAATCCCCTCTCAAGTTTGATATTTGCTAGAACAACTCACTAAACTCAGAAAAGCACGTTACCTACTATTACAGTTTTATTATAAAGGATACAAAGGCTTCAACTTAAGAATTTTGGGGAGATACGAACATTCTGTCCGAACAGGTGGCATGTGTCCAAATTCAGGTCAGTATAGCTGAGGCCTAGTGGGCAAGAGGGAGGAAGACAGGGTTGAAGCCATAGAAGTAAGTCGGCACCAAACTAGGCAGGGCTCTGTAGAGTGAGGACTCTGGATCTTATTCCAAGGGTGCTAGGAAGCTGGAGCAGAGGAGCAATGTAATGCAATTAATATTTTTTAAAGATCACTCTAATTACTGTATGGAAAAGTCACTAAAAGGTGACCAAAACCGGAATAGAGAGACTAGTTAGAAAGAAGGCTGTTGCAATGGTTCAAAAGAGAGATGAACATGGTTTGCACTAGAAATGGGTAGTAGGGAAAATGGAAAGACTTGAACTATTTCAGGGTATGTTTAGGAATTTAGAAACTGATGAGTTAGATGTGGGGAGTGAGAACAAAAGAAGAATCAGAGATAATGTCTAAATTTTTGACTGGAGCAACTTGAAGGAGGAGTAGGCTTGTGGTAGGAGAAGAGAAAATAGAGTTCTGTCTTGGCCATGTCAAATCTGAAATGTGTATGAATCTGGAATTCCAGAGGGAGTTGGAGCTGGGATATGGATCTGCTCATAATGCTGACGCCTTTCCTCGCATCACTCAGAAAGCACACACTTGAAGATGGACTCCTAAGTGTGACTATTGCAAGATTGTATTTATTGTTGTAAACTTTTTTTTTTAACGTAGGATTTATTAAGAAGACAGAAAGCTCCCACAAGTGGGAGAGGACCTGAAAGAAGTTGCCCTATTATTGTAAACTTAAAAATAAATGTTTTAAACTATTCTAACTAAATTTAGACAATTTTAGCTATATATAAAATCTTTTAAAAATAGTTAATAATTAGCACTTGTTTAAAAATCAGACTTATAAAAATCTAAAAGAGAAAGTGGAATTAATAACTTCAAGGCTTTTTTTTGTACTATATTCTTTTGGATTTTTATTTTTATATATCTTGATAGTTAGAACTTAATTATTCCCAAAGGATACATTTTTATAGTGGAATTGTGGGAGTCAAAGGGTAATTGCATTTTTGAGGCTTTTTTACATATTTATTGTCAAATTGTTCCCTCGAAATGCTACAGTAACTTAACTTTTCTTCAGTTGATATCTGAAATTACTATCAAGTGTAGCTAACAGTAAGTATTGGCATTCTTTTTAATTTTTGCTAGTTTATAAAAAGAAAATTTGTATCTTTTAAATTGCTAGTTCTTTGTGAAGTTATACATTTCACATACTTCTTAGCTACTTTGTATTTTCAAATTGTCTCTTCCTGTTTTGACCCATAACTCTTGTTTTTCCTTTGTGTTTAAAGTTTTAAATGAGCTCTTTATATATTACAGATATTAAATCTTGGCTATCATATATATTGCAAGTATTTTCCCTAGTTTTGCTTAAACTTTATTTTTTTCTCAGAAATTTAAAACTTTCTCTACTTTTTACTTGGGTTTAAACATACTTACATTGAAATCCCAGACACAAAAGAGCAAGCCTATCTGAACTTCTGTTTAATTTGACTAAATCATACACTTAATATATACTAAAGATTTAGTTTTCAACAGCTTGAAGGTTTGAATTAGATTCTAAACACACAAGAAGATGGCAAATAAAACTTCATCTTTAGCAAAGCCTGTCATTCGTAAATTCACTCAAACATTACACAAATAGAAAACTGTAAAATGTTAATTACAGGAATTTCATGTTGGAGTCACTGACGTTTCTAAGTAGATTAGGTCTAAATTTTGAAAGACCTGAAATAGGGCCCAACAAGCTGTGGGCTTTTCATCTTTATTTCCCTCTTGGAATGATGCCCTGGAATCGAACAGTCTCTTTCTGAAGGTCATATCCTAGTGCACATGCTCACCTGATGATTTCAGGACTCTGTGACAGGTGTCGTGTCTTTGTACTTTGTGCTGTGCTTTTATCATTAGTCATTAGTCTTGCTTTTCCTTATCTTGAATTTCAGAAAAACCAGAGTTTTAAAGGTGCTCCTTTTGAGGCATTCTAAGTTCAAGAACATGTCTTGAGTTGTGTTTGATTGTCACCTTATTTGTTTAATCTCTAGAATTCTTCCTCATGGGTACTATATAATATGGCTTCATTTTACTGGAGAATAAAGAATAAGCCATATCAGGTAGTGGAGTGTGCCATGCGAGCACTTCACTTCTCTTCCAGGTAAGACTCCTCTTTTGGATCTGGTTTTTCTGATTTTTCCATATTTCTCAGGACTGTTAAAGAAACACTATGTAAGAAAACAGTAAGAAGTAGCACTGAATTATGGTGTTCTCCAGCCTGTTCAAAAAAATTAGTCTATCACACAGCAATCACAGATGTCAGAAAGTTTAGTGATAATTGTGTAGTATTCTTTTCATTTTCACTAAGGAAAAAATGCATAATGTAGATGTCCTATGATTCACCTGAGTCTTGAATGCAAAGAATGTGACTGGAGGAATTATCCTAAATTAAATTTAACTTTTCTTAAAGCAAATATAAGCCCTAAATACATTTTAAATTTAAAGATGCCTACCAGACCTTATTTTTGTGGCAAAATTGGACTATCCGATTAAGAATCATCTATAGTTTAAAAATGAAGCACTATAATTATCTTACGTTATTTTCTCCACTATAAGCATACTCAAAGTTGTTTTCCTAAATACAGTAACTTTGAATGTAATTTTTCCTTGTCAAGTAGTTATACATAACCGTGGCACTTAATCCTCGTGCTTCTTTCCTCAGGCACAATAAAGACATTGCCCTGGTCAATTTGGCAAACGTGCTACACAGAGCACACTTCTCTGCTGATGCTGCTGTCGTGGTCCATGCAGCCCTGGATGACAGTGACTTCTTCACCACCTATTACACTTTGGGAAATATATATGCAGTAAATACTACTTTTTGTTTCATGAGCCATACCAGTTGCCACTTTTTCTTTTTCCTCAAACAAATGTAACTTTTCCCCTCTTTTAGTCTGAATGATGGGAATGGAGAAATCAGGGGGAGGGAAACTCTTCAGCATAATAATGTATCATAATTGTTCTAGCCACTTGACAAAAAATAAAATTAAATTGATTGTAAATTTAAACTTCTACAGAGTACATATCTTAGGGATAGCAATGCCTTCCAACTAATCCTGCTTTAGTATGCCTTCATAGTGTTGAAATTTGGCCACTGATCAAAATAAGGTTCACTGTAGAGTAAAACAGGTGTGATCTCATAAATCATTAGGGAATTTGGACAGATGTACCCAGACCATGGCTAATGTTTCTTCCCTCTGTGTGTATGTGTGTGTGTGTGTTTGTTTTTGTCTCTTCAGATGCTTGGCGAGTACAACCACTCAGTGCTCTGTTATGACCATGCTTTGCAGGCCAAACCTGGGTTTGAGCAAGCTGTAAAGAGGAAACATGCTGTCCTATGCCAGCAAAAGCTTGAGCAGAAATTGGAGGCTCAACATAGGTAAAATTGGGAGAAAAAATTTCACTGAAGCACTGGCATCATAGAACCTTAGGTTAGATCTGTGGAAGGTAATCATCAGTGTTAATCTGGTCATTGGAATTAAGAAAGAAACCTCTTCTCTACTGCGAGTCCTATCCCTTTTTCCCGTGTCCTGGTGGTTTAGCACAATTCAGTGGTTGGGTAGAGGAATATCTTTAATAGCAGGGTTCCAGGAACTAGAAAATATTTGCAGTAAAAGCTGTCATTTAAATCTCTACATTTTTAACTGTTAATTTTATGAAGTCATATGAAGGTGGGGGGCTGCAGTATACTCAGTAATTCTGTCTTTATTTACATTTTTATTTCCAAGGAATACACGAAGTGTTAGTAAAATCACTTATACATGCAATATTTGACTTCTCCCCTTTGGTTTGTAAGGTTGGGCTGTTGCTATGTTAGTTAGTTGGCATTGAGGGACATTATAATCAAATAAGTTGTACAGTAATGGAATTCTGTTGTACTTGATCCTTGAAGTATACTTAATAAAATACATGTTTGATTCCATACGTAACAGGGTGAACTTCACATAACTCAGAATTATGTTGTTCATGTCTCAGAATTAGCCTTAATATTTTTAGTCTACTTTGGTTATTAAATAAAGATTTAGAACTCAAAAGTATAATATGGAAAAAAAAAAGAATGACATCTTTCTTGTTTATAACTGGCTTCTGTTGTACCTGATTAGAACGTGCCCTAGCTGAGCAATCTTCCAATACTATGCAATCTTCCAATATTATGCTCTTAACAACTGAACTGACTCTCTTAGACAATCTGTATAGCTCCTAAAATCTCTATGTTACCAGTGTAATAGGCAATAAGGTTTTTGTGATTAAATATCATCAGCAGCTGATTTACTGAAGTCAGGTAGTGGGATGTATTCCTTTCTCAGCATAGTTTTTGTGGTTTTTCCTAAAGACTGTAACCAACAAGCTAGAATATGAAAGCAAGATACCATGGTCCTAACTCTTAACCTTGTCTTTAGGCAGAATCAAATGAAAAAGTGAAAAGGAAGAAAGGATTCTAGAAAGGCTTTGAATGTTGGTGGATCTACTGCAAATTTTGTAGAGAGAAGTAGAGCTGTTAAATGTGTAATATACTTATTATTATATTTTGATATAATTTCCGTAGCACCTGAAAAGTGCAACATGCCATTTGATGTCAAGATAGTTGTATTGCCGGGCCCAGTGTCTTGTGCCCATAATCCTAGCTACTTGGGAAGCTGAGGCAGGAGGATGGAAACCAGCTACGTAGCATAGCAAGACCCCTGTCTCTAAAAAAAACAAAAATTGTTTGGGCATGGTGACATGTGCTTGTAGTCCCAGCTACTCAGGAGGCTGAGGCAGGAGGATCTCGTGAACCCAGTTTGGCCTAGGAGTAGGAGGCTGCAGTGAGCTATGATTGGATCACTATGATCAAGACCCCATCTCAAAAAAGAAAAAAAAGAGAGATCTGTATTTAAGAAAGAATCATGTTTATCTTTATGCCCTGTTATGTTCTTGAAGTGGTGGCATAAGTTTGCATGTTTGATAAAAGGAAAAGACCTAGTAATTATTGCTGAAAACCAAAAAAATCTATACATTTAGGGTGGGTTTTTAAAATTTATGATTTTAAAGCTCTTTTTCCTGGCATTAAAAAAATGTTAAGATCTCTCCAGCGAACACTGAATGAGTTAAAAGAGTATCAAAAGCAGCATGACCACTACCTGAGACAGCAGGAGATCTTAGAAAAACATAAGCTGATTCAAGAGGAACAAATCTTAAGAAATATCATTCATGAGACTCAGATGGCAAAAGAGGCACAATTAGGTGAGTAGCAACTCTGGGTCACAAGACAGGAAATTCACTTCTAGCATGCTTTACTTTCATCACTGTCTTGTAGCCTTAAAGTGGTTTGTAAGGTGTTATTTACAACTTTCTTGTATCTTTTGGGGTTTTTTTTTTTTGGTGCATCTCACAGACACATTAATTCATGCCACGAAGTATGGTACTTACACAAGTGTACAGTGATAGTCCATGTTCCCATCTAACGTGACCTGCTTAGATTTACGGGCAGCCTGATGTTTCATCTCTTGTCACTCCAAGCAGAGCTGGTTAGTGATGACCATGAGCAGGCACAGGAGCTTTCAAAGCTTTATCTCTTCTGACAGCACCCCTGATCTTACAATGGGGCTTATAGCCCCATTCCCAGCCAGGTCTCCCGGTAAGCTTCAGTATAGTAGGGCTTCGTGGGAATCCAGACTTTTTTTTTTTTTTTTTGAGTTGGAGTCTCACTCTGTCGCCCAGACTAGAGTGCAGTGGCTGCTGCCGGCCACCGCAGCCTTGACCTGCTGGGCTCTGGCGATCCTTCCGCTTCAGCCTTCCAAGTAGCTGGAACTACAGGTGCACGCTAACACGCCCGGCTAGGAATCCAGACATTTTAAATAATGCTCTGAAGCAGCTCAGCGCCGGACCAACGGCTCAGGCCGTACTCGATCCCACAGCCAACAACTCGGAAAGGTGAAATCTTTGGTTCGCCTTGCTTTTTAAAATTTGCATTTTGAAATAAAACCAAATCTTTTAGATCCTAGGAGTCTTAGCAGTTATTTGCCTTCTGTGGCCCCCATCGGTTTTTCTCCAACACTAATATGTTTACATTATATGGAGATCTTGTTAAAATGCAGATTCTGGTTCAGTAGTTCAGAGGTAGAGCCTGAGATTCTGCCTTCCCAACAAGCTTCCAGATGATGTCTGTTGCTGCTGGTCTAAAAGCTACACTGGGTAACAAGGCCTTACACCAAGCAAACATAAGCTAGACACAACCCAAGAAACAACACATCTATACTCTTTGGCTAACACTGGTAATGAGGCTAAACATTCTTTTTTGTTGTTGTTCTCTTAAAAACAAACACTATCTTAGAAGTAAGAGTTTAGTCTAGAATTTGTCTTAACCTGGGTCAGTACATTTGTTTCAGGGGCTTCTGAATTCTCCAAAATTATATGTAGAATTGTGTATGTGCACTTTTTTTTCCCTGGGAAAAGGGCAGCTTTTATTAAAGTCTGTTAAGCATCTGTGACGCCTCAAAATTTACCCACTGGTTTATGAGAACTTAGGTTGACAGGAGAGCAATGACTGGACTATGTCAGAATGTTTTGTTTCTGGTTAAACCCCAAGGCAGCAGAGCTGACAACTTGACACCAGTGAATAAATTAATAGACTCCCTTAAATCGCACCCTTTCCTCTGGTGAATGTGTTGGTCTAGAAAGTCTCTTAACCTTTGAGCCTTCGCTGTGACCCTTCATAGCTCACCTTACAACCCACCTAACAATGTACCTTTGCTAGTTTGAACATAAAGAGTGTTTGGTCCTTGGGATTACTTAGCGCTCAGCCTGTACTGAAATGTAACCAGAGCTCTTATATGTAAATCTGAAACAGACTTACAAAGTATATAAAGCAAAGGAAGTCGCTGATAGCTGTTTTACAGTCCTAGAATCTTATTGCCAGAAGAGACATCAGTGACCTCATGGAGCCCCTTTTCTTTGTAGATGAAGGAATGAGGACGCCTTCAGAATGATTTAGTTAACCATTAATGAGCATTCCTCTATGTGCTAGGCTCTGAGGGACACAGGGTTGAAACTAAGTGGCCTAGACTAAGAAAATCACATTGACATTACAGATCTTTCTCATCATTTGTGTAATTTCCTTTCTTATTCCAGGAAATCATCAGATATGCCGTCTGGTCAACCAGCAGCATAGTTTACATTGCCAGTGGGACCAGCCTGTGCGCTATCATCGTGGAGATATCTTTGAAAATGTTGACTATGTTCAGGTCTTTATCTTGGTGTCTTCTAGTTCTTAGAAACTTTTGCGTTTCTGAAAGTAATGTCATGCTTTTTCCCCTTGATTTTTAAAATGTATTCCACCCCTAAAACTTGTGACTGTTATTGAGATCATTAAGATTTTGAGTGTCTGTTGTGTTTATAAAGTCATATTTTGTAGGGAGTACTCAGGAACTTCATGGATGCACTTTTTTTCTCAAAGTATCATCTGGATATGAACATGCATATGCATTTGATTCTTTTTTCCTATACCAGGGAAGCTATTAGGACTTAGCTCAAAATCTTGACATCTTCCCTTTTAACAGTAAGACCTATTTAAAATTTGAGTGAGAGCAACCATGCTGTTTCCTGAAGTAATCAGTCCAGTTATGTTGCCTCAACCAAAAACCTCAACAAAATGCTCATTATCAGCAGAACATATTTATTAAGCACCTTTGCTAGATGTATACTTTCTGTTTCTGTCTCCGTATACAGTGGCACAAAAACATACACACATACATACAATCTTAGTCTGTCTAGTTGGGAAGAAGTAATACATAGATACAATGATAGCAAATAGTATGTAACTGATGTTGAATAAGTGATATAGACAGTAAGTATAACCACAAGTTTTGTTGTTGTTTTTTTTTTTGAGTCACAGTCTCACTCTTGCCCAGGCTGGAGTATAGTGGCACACTCATGGCTTACCACAGCCTCAACCTCAGGTGATCCTTCCATCTTTGCCTCCTTCCTTAGTAACTGGGACTACAGGCATGCACCCCCACACCTGGCTAGTTTTGGGATTTTTCTTTCTTTTCTTTTCTTTTCTTTTTTTTTTTTTTTTGCAGAGACAGGTCTTGCTGTGTTACCTAGGCTGGTTCAAACTTATGGGCTCAAGCAGTCCTCTTGCCTCAGCCTCCCAAAGTGCTGAGGCATGAACCACAACATCCAGCCTCAGAATACTGAATATTTAAATATATATATATATATATATATGTATATATGAAGTCTGGAGTTTTCTAAATACTGACATTATGTTCAAATGAAATGCTCGTTGGAGCATTTTGGATTTTTAGATTTGGTATGCTCAACTGGTAAGTATAAAAAAAATTCCTAAATCTCAAATGTGAAACACTCCTGGTCCCAGGCATTTCGAATAAGTAATACTCAACTTGCATTTGTAATAAAACAACATTTATTCCCTCCTAGAGAAAACTTACCATGTCCCTAATTGTAGATACAGAACTTTCCTGAGATAAGCTAAGAGATCAGGAGATCATCTATAGAAAGACAAACCTTAGAACTCTCTAACCTGAAAAAACCCAGACTACACTGGGAAAGAATAAGAGACAAAAATGAAGCGGCCATTTAAAAGGTTGGGTGCAGTGGCTCATGCCTGTTATCCCAGCACTTTGGGAGGCCAAGGTGGAAGGACTGCTTGAGGTCAAGAGTTCAAGACCAGCCAGGGCAACATAGCAAGACCCTTTCTCTACAAAAATAAAAATATTCTGGGCATGATGGCATGTACCTGTAGTTCTAGCCAGTCAGGAGGCTGAAGTGGAAGATTCACTTGAGCCCAGGAGTTCGAGGGAGCTATGACTATACCACTGCACTCCAGCTGGACTACGGAGTGAAACTGTGTCTCTAAAAATATTATTTTAAATAAAAAAATAAAAAGGGAAGTAGAATTATGGACCAAAAGCATCTCATGAGTTTTGTAAGCCATCTCCTAGTATTATCTCATGTTTGATTTTCAAGAGGAGAAATAGAGACCAAATTCACACCCTTTTGGATTATAGCTTGTCTTAAAACCATGGATTTTAAAGAGAAAAAAGGGAATAGTTAGAAAAGAAGCAGATTGAAATCCAATGTAACTTTTGAACTTCTTGATTGTCTTAAGACAGACCATTTAGAGGAGTGTAGCTTCCAATATTTTATACTCATAAAATTGTGTCACCACTATATAATGAAAGAATCGATTCCTATTTATAAAGGCTTATTGCTACAAATTCATCATATTCATTCCTTTTTCTTATGTCTATCCTATCCCATCTCGTCCTTACTCCCATTCTCGTCCAGCAAGGTTTCAGAAATATACAAGGACTGTGGTATCTGGTGAATCTATCAGGCATTGTTCTACCTTGGTTTGGAGGAAAGTTTTATATGTTTGTGTTCTTTCACCTCTTAGGTTTCTCTTTCACCCCTAAAGCTTTTATCTGTAATTGATTGCACAATAGTCTATAATCCCTAGATAATAGTTATATTAAACCCTTAAGAATGCTTTCTTAAGTATTTTTGCTTCACTAATTTTATAGTGGTGGGCATTTTAGTCTAGGAAGAGGAGGGGAATATGAACTAGATCTCTAAATTAGCTAGTCATTAAACCTAAAAGAGACTAAATCATCAAAAAGGAATTCAAGGGACAGGAAAACAATTCATGCCATTTTTCTCATACTCCAATGGCAGAGTTGATTGAAAGTTGCTAACTGCATCATCCGTGAGAGAATACTGTTGGGCATGGTTCTTAAAATTAAACGATCTGATTGCTTTATTACAGACCTACTTTCTAATTTCCTACTAATTTTGAGTATTCATTAGCCTTTTGGTGTGAGTAAAATCTTAGTCATAGCTCCTTTTCCACTTTTAATTTGATTGCACTTTTCATTTTCTAGTTTGGTGAGGATTCATCAACCTCCAGTATGATGTCTGTGAACTTTGATGTTCAGGCAAATCAGAGTGAAGTCAGTGATTCGGTCAAGTCTTCTCCTGTAGCCCATTCTGTTCTCTGGATCTGGGGCAGGGACTCTGATGCATATAGGGTAAGTTCATAGGAGGTGATGAAAGAGTTTTCTCAAACAGACAAGGTACCTTAAAGCAGTGGCCCTAACCTCACTGATTAATATGGCCCTTATGCCTATTCATCGTAGTTCAGCAAACGCTTATTAAACTTCTATTTAATGGAAGGCATTCTGATAGGTAGTGGATGAGTAAGACACAGACTCTGATTTGAGTTCTTCCCAATCACATGGGGCTGATAGACACACTGAACTGATTTCAGTTCAAAGCTTTATACTCTGAGTATAATGACCAGTTTTAACAAGTCTCTAAACTTGACCCAAGTATGTGCTTGTATATACTTCACTTATTTAATCAGCATTCTTTTATTGAGCTCCCAGCTGTGTACCAGGTTGGTGCCAGCAGGCGCCTTCATCTCCTGGAGGCTACGTTCTAACAGATGGTACAGAAAACATACAGGTTAATAAATATATGTTTCTAGGCTAGCTAAGCAAGAATTTTGTGTTAGCTGATGGGGATACCATGGACAGAGACCATGTATTTTTTATTCACCATTACATTTTCAGAATTTAATCAAGGGTTTATTTTAACAGAATTGACATAACCATTTATATTTAGTTATATGTAATGGAAATTTCCCAGAGCTTGATAGCTTTAGGGTATGTTTAGTAAGCCTCTGGTGTGTTCGGAAAAAAACAAACATTTTACAAATTGTGAAGCAATTATTAAACCTTGGCACTGGAAATAAAAGGTCTTAGGGAGAAACAGTTTTCAATGCCAGTTTTATAAGCTTATGTGTGCTTTCAGGTATAGGTCAGAAACTCCATCTTAAACTGACTTAAACAAAAATAAAATTTGCCTTTTTCACAGGAATTCTGGAGGTGGGATAAACTTTAGACTTGGTTGATTCATGGCCCTGTGATGCCATCAGTGACCCATTTCTTTTCCTTTTCTTCACTCTGCCATCCATAGTATTGTTTCATTTGAAAACTCGTTTCCCTCATGGTCATAAGGTGACAGCCAGAAGCAACTGGAACAGCTTGGTTTTTTTGTTCATATGTAGCATAAGAGACCAAGACTTGCTTTTCTCTCCCCAAAACCCAAGCAGGTCTCTCCTTGTGTCTTGTTGGCTCACCTGGCTCAGGCCTGCCCGCCTGTGAACTAGCCCATGGTAAAGCAGGTGCTTAGAACTACTGGCTTAGATTCTAGAATCCACTGCAGTGTCCACGTTTATCTTAAAATATTTTCATTTTGTTCAATTATCCTAGTATATTTCTGTTCTTTTAAAAGTTTATTTATAGCATGTTGAGATAATCCAAATAAATTTATAGAGAACTGTTTCTTTTTAGGACAAACAGCATATTCTGTGGCCTAAAAGAGCAGATTGTACAGAAAGCTACCCAAGAGTCCCTGTTGGTGGGGAATTGCCTACGTATTTTCTGCCTCCAGAAAACAAAGGACTCAGGCAAGTGCTGATGGATTTGGCAAAGCAGCTGATTCTGCATGATTGTCACCTGGCGGTTCTTTGAGAGCACCAGCCTTGGACTTGAAAGGTTAAGTCTTTATCTTGAAATCACCCAAACTTTGGAAATATGAATCTTGTTCCTTTTTCTTGTGCCAGGATCCACGAACTGAACAGTGATGATTATTCTTCAGAAGAAGAGGCCCAAACCCCTGACTGTTCCATAACTGACTTCAGAAAAAGCCACACTCTGTCCTACTTAGTCAAAGAATTAGAGGTCCGCATGGATCTGAAAGCCAAAATGCCAGATGACTATGCACGAAAAGTAAGGCTCACTTAGGCTGGTGTTTATTGCCGTCCATTCTGGGTGACTTCAGAAGCCTCTTAGATGGAACAAAAATTTGATAGAAGATAGTTTTTGAGCATTACGTATGTAAAACTGAAGGATAGAGTTATAGGATTGGTGAAATGATTGAGAAATTAGTCATGCTATTAAAGGAGGGCCAGGAATGTGTTCCTCGGGGCTGCTATTTACAGAGACCATCTGAGCACTGTTCTCTAACTCGGAGGGCTTCAAGGACCAGTAGCGCAGGACTCTCTCTTTACCTAATGGAGGCCATTCTGATCACTTCAATTTAGCTTTATACCATCCAGGCCTCCAGAAGTTTGTGTAAATTTCCCTTGCCTTATCTACCCTGCTTTGGCCTTATATGAGGTCCTTAGGCATTTGTATTAATTTGATAACCACTTTGCAAACATTATAAGTTTTGTTATGCTGTTTCCCTAAATTTCTATTACTTATGTTTAACTAGGAATGTTTTGTTATTGTGGACAACTATATCAGATGCCATTCCACAGATATAAATGAAAAATATTACCTTTTTACGGAGATAGCAGACCATCACAATCAGCTTTGAAATTTAGTTTCAAAACCATAAGCACTTATTTCTTATATTCAACAAACACTGAGGCAAAATTTTAAAAATATGTGGGTGTCAGGAATGCACAAATAAATAGATTATGACAGCAAGAACATTTAAGTAGATTAATTGGGGTGTTCTCCATCTAGGGCAGATAGTAGATTTTTATTGTACCAGGAATTGCATGCTATATTCCTTTGAAGATTTTCTCCTTGTGTTCTGGACACTAAGGTTGACTTTAATGGAATATGTTAGACTACCTTAATATGTATGTATGTGGTATGTATGTCTTTTAACTTTTTTTAGTTAAAGGAAGCTAGTATGTACATGTGAACAGGTCACTTGTTGGAATGTTAGTGACTTTATGTTGTATATGACTGTTAATATCTGTTCAAATTAACCGTTCCAGAGGAGCTCAAGAAAAGACCACCATCTATAGAAATTCTTCTCCAATGTCTTCCCTGTTATTGTCAGTTGAGTCCATCTTCCTTTTGATGTTTCAGATTTTGCTTTCCCGTATTAATAACTATACTATCCCAGAAGAGGAAATTGGTTCTTTCTTGTTTCATGCTATCAACAAGGTGAGTCATTGACGTCTGAAACTGAAATGTCTAGTAGTTGTATTTAAAGCTTAAAATATACTTATTACAAATCTTATTTAGAACAAGTATGCATTCTTGTACTAACGAATATTTGGGGGTTTTTAGCCAAATGCTCCTGTCTGGCTCATACTCAATGAAGCAGGTCTGTACTGGAGGGCAGTAGGAAACAGCACTTTTGCCATCGCCTGTCTTCAGAGGGCTTTGAACTTAGCTCCACTTCAATACCAGGACGTTCCTCTTGTCAACTTGGCCAACCTCTTGATTCACTATGGCCTTCATCTTGATGCCACTAAGCTGCTACTTCAAGCTTTGGCCATCAATAGCTCCGAGGTGAGGTTTTATGTTTCTTTGTAGCTCCATGTACTATGTAGAATATCTCAAATTTAGAGTTCAATTTGTATTTTTCTAAGGAGAGCTTAGAAAATGTCGTTTTTTCCAAGAGCAGAATTTGCATATTTCAAGAGAGGGTATATAAAGATTTTGTTTTATTTTGATGTGTTATTTTTTCTCTTAAACAAGTGAAATTTGTAATTACAGTTAATTTTTTTAGAAACTTACATCTAAATAAGAACAACATAGCTATAAAAATATACCGCCACTTTTTTATGTTGGTCTGACCAACATAATTATGTTGGTTCTTATTTTGTCCTACTCATCACAGCATGCATATTGCTTAATTCGACACTGCTTTACAATGTCAATTTATAGATGTATTTACACTGTTTAAGCCAGAGCACAGTATAAAGGTGGTTTTGATAAGAATAGATGGGTAGATTGACTTTCTTGCCCTGACCCTTCCACATACTGCTGTATAGTTCATAGATTCAAAGACACCACTTGTATATATATATTTCAACATTTCTGAAATCAGGAAGCATATTGTAATTGCTGTCTTTCTAGGTTTCATGAAATACAGTTGCAATAAACATAAAACTAAACTGATTTTATACCTAATGTCTAAATGTAAGTTTTATGTCCAAATCTTTAGAAGAGGTATGCATGAATCAGATTTATTTGAGGTGTCCCAAAACTGATTTTTTAAGTATGAAAAGAAAATATTTTCATTTTCATGTTTCCTTTGAAATACACAAATTTACAACTGGATTTTAAGCAAAAATTTATAGTCTCTATATTATATAACAAGTCATAATTGCCAAAGAAGTGCATCAAATATCTCTCTAATGATCACTGTGTACCAGGTGCCAGTACAGTGAGAGCAGGTATTCTATACAGATATAGGATGTGATGAAGTGGTTACCAGTGAAAGGCTCCAGGCAGCTGTATGCCCTGGAAACTTCTCATGGCTCACTTTCTACAGCTTCTAGCCAAGGCAATTAAGTAGTGTTCTTCTGAAGAAAAAAAGAACTCCCTTCGTGATTACTTGTCTTTCTATAGTTTAAAATTATACTAAAATTTTAGTTGTTAAATACTGTGGTACTGCAACAAGAATAAAAAGATGTATTAATGGATCACGGTGGGTATTCTAAAAATATACCGTCACCAACTTTCACTCTCTTCCCAACTATTCTCATTTGGAAATATTTCCAAATACTTGCTTATCTCCCATGTATATATTTTATTTTAACTTAGTTTTTAGTTTTTGAGTTGGGGGTCTCACTCTGTGGCTAGGCTGCAGTGTAGTGACATGATCACGACTCACCACAGCCTTGAACTTCTGGGCGTAGGCGATACTTCCGCCTCAGTCTCCCGAGTAGCTGAAACTACAGGCATACACCAATAAGCCTGGCTAATTTTGTTGTTGTTGTTGTTTTGTAGCGAGGAGGTCTAACTGTGTTTCCTAGACTGTTGTCAAACTCCTAGGCTCAAGCAGTCCTCTCACTTCAGCTTCCCAAAGTGCTGGGATTACAGGCATAAGCCACCATGCCCAGCCTGTGCACATATTTTATAGGGTTGCAACTCTCCTGTACAAACAGTCTTTAAAGCTTGTTATATCTAAAAAAAAGTATAACTACATAGTTTTTAAAACCATCAGTTCAAATGTTTGTTTAAAGGTTTAGTGAATTGACTCGCCACGACGTATTCTGTTGCATATTTGCATTGCTACCAGTGGTTATCTATTAGCAATAATGATTTTCTGTATAAGGTCTTTTCCATGTTTCAGATAATTTTCCTAGGAAAGATTGCTAATAGTGGAATTACTTATTACTTAATGTTTTATCCAAAATGCCAAACAATTCACCACAAGGTTTGAGTCTATATATATTGCTATGAATAATGCCTTAAAAATATCCATTTCAATTATATCTTCACCAGAATTGGACCATTAAAAAAACTTTTAAAAATTGGTTACTAGAGCCAAGCACCATACTAAGCACTTTACATGTAGTAACCCATTTAGTGCTTTACAGCAAGCTTATGAGATAGAATCTCCCCTTTGAAAGATGAGGAAACCCTAAGAGTTAAATGCACAGAGAAGTTAAGGCATTTGCTGAATGTCTCAGAGCTTGGTTTTGAACTCAGAAGACTGGATGCAGAGCTCACACTCTTTAGCCATGTTATCCTGCCTCTGAATTAACATGGGTAAAGCAAGTTTGCTTGTTTAAAAAAGTCACTTCTCTGTTCTAACATAAAATTTTATCTTTTATTTGTGTTTTAACATAAATGTTCACGTATATATTTTGCTCATTTTGTTAGAATTTAGTTTTTTAAATTTTGTACAAATTCTTGGTGTAATAAAGTCTCTAACTCCATCTGTCATGTGTTAAAAATATTTTCTCTTTGCCTTTTTATCTTGGCTTTTAAAAATTGCCCTTAAGCTTGTTGATCTCTCAATTTTGATTTCTAATGTTAAAGTGTCCTCATAAGAAGACTGAAAAAAATTCTGTTTTGTTTTTGTTTTCTTGACTTAATCTTTAAATCATTTATTCTCAAATATATGAAGATCTTTTCATATGTTGTCTCCTAGATATTTTATAGTTTTAGGTTTTACATTTAGTTCTATGATTCATTTCAAGTTAAGTTTTTTGGTGGCATGGGTGGGGATCAAAGTTCATGCTTACATGGGTATCTAGTTGTTTCTTTACCATATCTTGAGAAGACTCTCCTTTTTCTGTTAAATTACGTTTTCTCTGAATTCCACACCTCTGTGCCCTATGGCTTACTCGACATCTGCACTTGGATGTCTAAAGGCCCTTTTAAAACTAAAGTCCGCCCCGGCCGGGCCGGCCCCCGCCCCGCGGCCGCCTCCTCCGGGCTGGGCCGCGCCGCCTCTTCATCCATCCCCGTGCACCACAGGTGGCACAGGCGCCAAGATGTCCAACCGAGTGGTCTGCCGGGAAGCCAGTCTCGCTGGGAGCTGGCACACGGCCTCAGGACCGCAGCTGAATGCACAGCTAGAAGGTCGGCTTTCACAAGTACAGTCTACAAAAAGACCTGCTAGAGCCATTATTGCACCCCATGCAGGATATACATACGGTGGGTCTTGCGCTGCCCATGCTTCCAAACCAGTGGACCCGTCTGTTACGGTATGAGTATTATAGAACAATTAGACCCTGTATCTTTTGGCAATTATCTGAAGAAAGACCATAATACTATATGTGGCAGACATCCCATTGGGGTGTTACTAAATGCTATCACAGAGCTCCAGAAGAATGGAATGAATATGAGCTTTTCCTTTTTGAATTATGCCCCATCAAGCCAGCGTAGAAACTGGCAAGACAGTTCAGTGAGTTGTGCAGCAGGGGCACTCAAGGTCCACTGAAGCTCGAATCCTCAGGGATGCCACCTGCACGCTCTCATACACTGTCTGGCCTAGCCTTTACCAGACACTGGTCCTGGTTTGGGGGGGATTCTGAAACCTCAAACTAATAGAACTTTCTTCTCTTCTTTTCTAGTAGGTGTAGTCCTTCCTTAATTTCAACTCATTAAAAAATGCTTTATAGTTTAGGGCCGTGGAAGGAAGCCTGGCTCAAAATATTTTGATCAAAAAAGATGACAGTGTAAAGCCCAGTTGTGGCAGGTCACTTTCTGAAAGTAACTTTTAAAGCATTTACCATATCCTAAATTTGCATTCTTTGCAGACTTGTGCACATATATTTACCGCTTTCAGAATAGTTTTGCAAATTGTACACAAAAAACAAAAAAGGTGGAAGCTTTTTAATAAAGAAATTGCATTTATAGATGATCTGTATTAGAATATAATAAATCTCCAATTATAGTCAATGACTGCCCGTGTTGTACAACAGATACCTTCTATTTTAGTTGCTAATAAAGGGCTAAACAACTCAAAAAAAACCAAAAACTAAAGTCCAAAACCAAGCTCCTTGACACGGTTCCAAGTTTGTTCTTCCCAGTTGTCCCATTTCAGGGAACAATAAAACTGTTATTCTAGTAGCTCAGGATGAAAAATAGAGCTTTCCTTCATACCATTCTCCTTGTCTCAGGACAAATCCAATCTACTAGCTAACCTTGCTGATTCTGTTTTTTAAAATATTTCCAGGATTTCACTATTTATCATCATTTCCACTGCTAACCTGATCCAAACTTTATGTATGTATGTATGTATTTTAGATGGAGTCTTACTCGTGCTCACAACCACCACAGCCTCGACCTGCTAGGTTCAGGTGATCCTTCTGCTTCAACCTTCCAAGTAGCTGGAGTCACAGGCATGCACCATGCCCGGCTTATTTTTTAAAATTTATTGTAGAATCAAAGTCTCGCCATGTTGCCCTGCCTGGTCTCAAGCCCCTGGGTTCAGGCAGTCCTCTTGCCTCTGCCTCCAAAGTGCTGGGATTATGGGCATGAATCATCACACCTGGCTCACTGTTATTTTTGTCTGGATTATTTCAAGAGTCTCCAAAATGGCTTCTCTGCTTCTACCTTTGTCCTTCTATAGTCTGTTCTCATACAGTAAGCAGTAAAATCCTTATAAAAAGTTTTATTTGCTCTTTGGGAGGTGGGGGTAAGGGAATTGCCTGAGCCCATGGGTTCGAGACTTACCTGAGAAACTTGGCAAGACCTTGTCTTTACAATAAATTAAAAAACTAGTTGGCATGGTGGCATATGCCTGTGGTTACAGCTACTTGGAAGGCTGAGGCAGGAAGATCACCTGAGCCCAGCAGATCGAGGCTGCAGTGGCTGTGAGCATTTGCCTGGGTGGTAGAGTGACACACTGACTCAAAAAAGAAAAAAAAGTCTTATTTGTCCATTTCCCTGCTTCAGCCTCCACAGAACTCACAGTAAGAGAATTTCTAAAGGTATAGAAAGTCCTGCATGACCTTGTTACTTTTCTGACCTTCCCTCTGTGAGGTTGCTTCTTTGCTCATTCTATTCCAGGCTACTTGGCTCCTTGGCTCTTTTGATCATACTAGGCATGTGGGAGCCTCAGCATCTTGGCATCTTCTGTTCTCTCGGCTTGTAGTATTTTACCCCACCAAAATCCTCTGTGGCTTCATCCTTCACCTCCTCAAAGTCTTATAAATACTACCTTGTCAGTAAGTCCTTCCTGCACCACTCTATTTAAAATGGCACTTCCCTTCCCCACTTTGGTACCATTTATGTCTGTCTCGTCCTTCTGTATTTTTCTCCATCACATTTTACTCACTGTAAGGTCCATGGAGGTAGGAATTACCTTATCTTCTGCTGTATCCTTAGTGTCTAAAACTGTGCCTGGAACTTAATAAACACTTAGCACTTTCTGAATAAATTGATAGAAATTCATCTTTATTTCCCCCCTCAAAATGCTAACCAGTTTATCTCATTGCAGAGCGTTTGCACACCCATCATTTCGGTTATGGAGATAGTTGCAACACTTTGTTTCCTTATGCAAAATATAAACACATTTTGAAATCTAAGTGGGATTTAATTTTATATTACACCAAGTTTGTGTGAACCACCACGTAATGCAAGCATGTAATCTGACCACCAAGTAATGCTATCATTGTGATCTGACAGCTGCCTAGATTAGACTTCTTTAATCTGGGATATTTTGTACACCTTGGCTTGGTTACAGTGAGACATTTCTGATGACTTATACACATTGTATGATTTATTGTGCAACTTTATAATAAAACATTCTTAGATGTTAAAAAATGTTTTTTATGATAAAATAAATTTAAAACATGTTTTGCCCACAAACAAATACAAAAATACTAGACACAAGTGTGTTTCAGTTAAAATGTCCTAAACTAAGTGTTTTGGGCTGCTTATAAAAATAGTCTTAGCAAACAATTGGATAATAGTATATAAAATCTACTGTCTACAGTAGCATCAAGAAGACATCGAATATCTAGGAATAAATCTAAAGGAAGATATACAAGATTTATATACTAATTATAAAACATTGCTAAAAGAAAGAGCACATAAATTCATGTCGTACATCCTAAATCTGAAAATCCAAGATTGAAGTACTCTAAAATCTGAAACTTTCTGAGTGCAACATGATTCTCAAAGGAAATACTCAGTATTCTGTTTTTTGGATTTAGGATGCTCAACCAGTAAGTACAGTAAAATATTCCAAAATTAAAAAGAAATTTAAATCCAAAACACTTCTGGTCCCAAGCATTTTGAATAAGGAATACTCGATCTGGAAATGGAGATATACGTTGTGTTCATGCATTAGGGTATTCTATATTGTTAAGATGTCAGTTCTCTCCAGCTAGACTTATAGATTCACTTCAGTCCCATACACCTAGCAATTTCATGTATATCTGTGTATATTGACAGTTAATTCTAGAATCTACATATAAATGAACCTGGAGTAGTAAAAAAATGGAGTGGGGGAACAGAGTTAGAAGGCTGATACTACCAGCTATCAAGACTTACTATAATTAAATCAGTGTGATATTGGTTCAAAAACACTCAAACATATCAGTGGAACACAATAGAGAATTTAGGAATAGACTGCCATGTATAGAGTCACTGATTTATGGCAAAGCCAAACCTGTAGTTCAATGAGAGAAAAATGTTTTGTTTTGTTTTTTTAAACAGGTAGTGCTAGAGTAATTGTATGATATTCCTATGAGAAAAGAAAAGAACAGCCTACCCTACACCATACACAAAATTAATTTGAAGTGGATCATGTACTAAAATGTAAAAGATAAAACAATAAAGCTTCTTGATGAAAACATAGAAGAAAGTTTTTATGATCTTTTAGTAGGCAAAGATGTCAGAAAGCACTAGCTATAAAGGAAAAAAAAGATAAACTGGACTTCCTTAAAATTAAGAATTTCTTTATCAAAAGTTATCATTAAGAGAGTAAAAAGGAAAACCATAGACAGAAGATATTTGCAGTAAGTATTTTCAACAAAGGACTAATATCTAATATATAGAGACACCTCCTTCAAATCAATTAGATGAAGAACAGATACTTCAGAAACAAGGCCATCCAAATGGCCAATAGGCACATGAAAAACGTACTCAGCATTACTGCTCATCAGCTAAATGCAAATTAAAACCACAGTTAGATGCCACTTCAGCCCACTAAAATATCTAAAATTTAAAACACTGACAATACAAAGTCACTGAATTTTCATACTTGCTGGTAGGAGTGTAAATTTGTGCATTCATTTTGGGAAACTATTTGGTTGTATCTGTTAAAGCTAAACGTATATCCCTACCTTACAACCCACTATATACACATGGAAAAGGAGTACAATATGTCTACCAAGACATTTATAAGAATGTTCGAGACCAGCCCAGCCAACTTGGCGAAACCTAGTTTCTACAATAAATAAAAAATTAGCCGGACGTGATAGCGCGCGCCTGTAGTTCAGCTACTTGGAAGGCTGAGGCGGAAGGTTTGCCGGAGCCCAACAGGTCGACACTGGGGTGGCCCTGAGCGTTCCACTGCCCTCCAGCCTGGGTGATGGAGTGAGACTCCGACTCAAAAAAAAAAAAAAATGTCCATAGTAACTTTATTCATAATAGCCAGAAAGTGGAAACAGCCTAAATAACAATCAGTAGGAGCATGGACGAACAAGCTGTGGCATATTCATATGCTGGACCATTGTAAACCACTGATGTACACACAAAAAAGGGTTGTATTTTTATTTCAGGCTGAGTGAAAGAAGCTTCAAAAGGATATGTATTATAGGTATGTGTAAGAGAACGTGCTGCTCGACTTCATTTATATGCAGTTCAAGAACTGTGATGAAAGTAGTCCTAACAATGGTTACTTCTGAGTTTGGGGTTGAGTTCTCAAGGAACCTCCTAGGGTAAAACTTTCTAAATGTTTTAGGTCTTGACCTGTGTGGTAGTTACTGTATACTTATATAAATTTGTTGAGCTAAACATTTAAGACTAGGGTATATTACACACTTTATATATTTTTTATCTTAGTAAAAAGGTAAAATACGTTTGCATATATATTATAAAGCTTAGACTTGGCCAATATGAATGAAATGGACAGTTAGCAATCATCTTTATGGCATAAACAAAGAAAAGCCAAAAGATTTATAATGGTAAGATTTTGTAACTCTCAAAAAATATTCATTAACATTTTGCTGATTTTTTTTCTTTTCAGCCTCTGACCTTTTTGAGCCTGGGAAATGCTTACCTTGCTCTGAAGAATATCAGTGGGGCGCTTGAGGCCTTTAGACAGGCTTTGAAATTAACTACCAAATGCCCAGAGTGTGAAAACAGCCTGAAGTTGATCCGCTGTATGCAGTTTTATCCTTTTCTATACAACATCACCTCTTCTGTTTGCAGTGGTAAGCAGCTGTTAAATGCTGACAAAATGTAATGAGCTCAGCTGGCATCACTGTTCTGGTCAGCAGAACACAGAAAATGACATTCTCAGTTTTTCATAACCAAGGATAACAAACCCAGATACATAGGAAAGAAATTAGTTCATAGCTCACCATGGAAGCCTTGGGGTGTTAAAGCTAAATTCTCTCCCAGAACCCTGGTTAAGAAAGGCTAACTAAAATATGTGGTATATTCAGCTGTGATGACCAGGCTGTAAGACTTTTTTTCCTCTCGTCTAGTTTTTTTTGGTGTTTTATACTAACTGATATTCATGGAAAAGTATATTTTTTTCTGTCCATGAAGACAAGTTGTTTGAGGCAGTTCTTCCACATATACTCAGTCACTGAAGTATAGCTCCTTGCTTTTCAATGAAGGTGATTCAAAAATGTGCTCCTTTAAAATAGTCACCTGATATTAAGTGGTGTCTCTCTCTTGGGTAAAGCCAGTATCTAAAACTGTCACTAATTCATCAGTTAGAACCTTCTTTCTAAGAGTCCTCTGATATTTGATTATTTACTTATTTCACTTTCACTCTAAGGAAAAAAAATAATGAGCTTCAACTCCCTGCCTGATTTGTGACAGGTGTAACTTCCATGTGTGTGGATCAGTACCTGGCCATTGTAGAGCACACAGTGGGTACTTTGTTCACAGTCAAATTAGAGTGTAATATTTAAGCAGAGGGTTTCAGACCAGTTCCTTCACTTTGTGTATTTAAAAAAAAACAAAAACTTGACACCACTTGTTTATGTGACTTATCTAAAAGGCATTAATAATTATTAGTAAATTTGGGACCAGAAACTAGATTTTCTGACTCACTGTACCATACTGCCTATGGATTTTAATGACAGACCGTTAGTCTGTCATTAATGTATCTGTAAACATCAGAACCCAGTTATTTACTGAAGAAACTTAAGACTCTCTTGGCAATGTAACTTCACAGCTCAATTGTGGATCAGTGTTAAGGACAGTTGAAATTAAAGTTCTGCTGAAGGCCTAAGGCAGTGTTTTATGGCGGCAGAGTGGAACGGCTACTACTAGAATCATGTAGATTTTTTATGTTGGAGCCCTAGCTCTGCCACAACTTTCTTTTTTAAAAAAATTTTTTTGTTTTTAATTTTTTGTGGATTTATAATAGTACTGCCGTAACTTTCTAATCCCACTAAAGTAACTTGTGTCCTCATCTATACAATAAAAGACAATAAAACCTATATCACACACTTGTTGAGAAGATTAAATGAGAGCTTCATCATATAGGAGACACTGGGTAAAAGTAAGCTGAGAAATTCACAGTGAGTACAAAGTACTCAGCACTTCCAAGGTGTAAATTACAGATCTTTACCTTCTTACTTAATCCTAGAAAACTTATTGTGGTCTTCTAAATGTTGTAAGTTACCTAAGAACAGCCTTGTAGATAAGATTTCGCTTTTTCAATGATTTTTTTGTATTAATAGAATCTTATTTTTTTGCTTACTATATCATCTCTCTCACCTCTCTTGGAGTTTCTTTTTGTTGTTGATAAGAAGGATTTTGGTATATACAGTGACCCTTTTCTAAAAAAATGAATTTTCTTAGCATTAGTTTCATGTGTTTTTGTTGACTTTTTCAGTTTCTTGAAGTTTATTCTCAGTTTATGTCACTCATGTCAAGAGAGGAATTCAGTTGTCTTGAACTTTTTCTCCAGAGCATAAATTCAGCTAGTCTAAGAAACTAATAACATAGAACAGATCTTTCTCAGAGTTGTGGTATCTGATAGTCTAGATTATCCCAAGAATATTATTGGATCCAGTGTCATAACATTAAAAGACTTTTGTTTTTTTGAGTCAGAGTCTCACTCTGTCACTCAGGCTGAAGTGCAGTGGCATGATCATGGCTCTCTGCAGCCTCAGCCTTCTGGGCTCAGGCGGTCCTTCCACCTCAACCTCCTGAGTAGCTGTGACTTCAGGCACTTGCCACCATGCCTGGATGGTTTTTTATTATTTTGTAGAGACAAGGTCTCTCTTGCCTAGGCTGATCTCAAACTCCTGGGCTCAAGTAATCCGCCTGCCTCATCCTCCCAAAGTACTTGGATAATAGGCATGAGCCACCATGCTCAGCCACAATAAAAGAACTTTGATATGGAAAGAGGGAATGTGTTCTTTAGTTCATTCCGAGAGAAATCCTCACACACACACAAAAATTTTAGCTCCTTTTACATTGTAACGAACTAGTTTAATAATTAAGCAAGTCTTTGCTCATATTTGCCGAGATCACTGGAAGAAGTTATTACTGCTAATAGACAAAATCATTCTGATATAAACCAGAAAAGAATCCAATATCTATTAACACCTCAGTAAATACTATTACCTCCTAATGGAAATGTATGCTCTCCATCCTCTAGGTTTAAAAACTCATTGATGGCAGTTAATTGATTTCAATATTGAATCTTTCTTTGACAGTATTTTTGCATTATTTCCAGAGTAATCTTGTTCATTCACAGTTGCTTTACTGAGTGGCAACTTTGAAAACCTAAAGCTTGAAAGAAGCAAAATACCTCTGTAAAAACCATGAACGTCTTATATTTGGAATCTAAATAGTTACATCTACTCCAGTTATTTCTGAGCTTTACTAAATGATTGATTTAAAAAAGACGAAAACCTATGAATAATGATCAGCTCTAGTACTTTCATTGAAATCAGATGATTCTGTTTACCTTCTGCTTTTTCATATTTTTGGTATTAAAGTAAGCCTCAGAAAAAGCTTTCTTCATTATCTCTTATCTTAATTATCTGTTTGTTTTTATTATGACAACACAAAGTTCCAAGAGATTGACAGGGCTTGTGATTCTCTTTTCATGTAATAGTCGAAGAATGCATTTTGTAATTGTTTTCTATTAGATAAGAATTTAGTGATCTCTCTCTACCCCTTTGCCAACCGAAGTATTCTCTTATGAAAGTATATTTGAAAAACTGTCATTTGAAAGCATCTCAAAGAAGCTTTTCAAGATAGAAATAGTTAAGTATCCTTGGAAAACTTTATTTAAAAATAATTTTTCTGACCACTATTATTATTCTTCCACAAATTCCTTTTTTTTTTTTTGAGTTCGGATCTCAACTCTGTTGCCCAGGCTAGAGGGCAGTGGCATGATCATGGCTGACTACAGCTTCCACCACTTGGGCTCAGGCGATCCTTTGTCTCAGCCTCCCAAAGTGCTGGGATTACATGTGTGAGCCACCACACCCAGCCAATTATTGTCTTTAAAAATCCATGTTTAATAATTATTTTTTCAGCAACTATAATGTAGTACAATGTCTTAGATAGTCTGATAGTATGAAAGAACTATAACGAAGCACACAGGTAATATATTCTATTACCTTTGAATACTGTTTCGTTCAACTTAAAATACATAATCACTGTGCTCAAAAAGATTTTTCTATTTTCAAAGACTTTATAGCTAAAATTGTATCCATTAGTGCAAAGTTATTTCTGGCAGTTTTTTCAAACTTTTGTTAACCTAGAATTTTTTTTTTTTTTTTTTTTGAGTCAGTGTCTTACTCTGCCGCCCAGACTGGAGTGCAGCGGCCGCTCCCGGCCACCACAGCCTCGACCCGCTGGGCCCCGGCGATCCTTTCGCCTCAGCCTTCCACATAGCCGGAATTACAGGCGCGTGCTACCACGCCCGGCTGGTTTTTTTATTTATTGTAGAGATGAGGTCTCGCTGCCCAGGCGGGTCTCGAACCCGCGGGCTCAGGCAATCCACTCACCTCAGCCTCCCAAAGGCACGGGACTACCGGCTGAGCCACCAAGCCCGGCTAACCTAGAAATTTTATTGGCTGCCGTTTGTCAGATACACACGTTCTTATAGCAACTGCTTGTCATTCTCATCTTTCTCTCCTTTGAATAGTATTTAAGAAATTGCACATATTTAATAGGTAGTTCTATATTGCCACCACAATTTCAAGGATGCGTGAAGGAAAACTTAATAGATGGACTTTTTTAGTTGCCCACTCTCAAGTGGTAAGAAAGAAGTTACGGCTTCCAGTTTTGATTAAACCTTTTATTTCGGCAGTTTTTAAATACATACTGTTTTCCACATTTGTAGGCTTATAACAAGCTATAGCAGCCTTATTTAACAACTTTAATTAAATAAAAAACTATAGTTTTATTTAACAGAACTGAGTTGATCACTTTAACAAACCCATTCTTCAATAACAACTTAACTTTACTCTTTAAAAAGTAAAATGGGGCTGGGCTCAGTGGCTCAGCCTGTAATCCCAGCACTTTGGGAGGTTGAGGCAAGTGGATTGCCTGAGCCTGTGGGTTTGAGACCAACCCGGGCAATTTGGTGAGACCTCGTCTCTACAATAAATCACAAAAAATTAGCCGGGCATGGTAACATGCGCCTGTAGTTCTGGCTACTTAGAAGGCTGAGACAGAAAGATCACAGGAGCTCAGTGGGTCGACACTGGGGAGGCTGTGAGTGTGCCCCTGCACCCCCAACCTGGGTGACGGAGTGAGACTCTGACTCCAAAAAAAAAAAAGTGGCTCAGATCCTTACAGTTTATATAAATAAAGTTTATACAGAAGAACTCAGACTTTAATGACTAGCTATTAGAATTTTATACAAGATTCCTCTGTGATATGTCTTTGATAGCTTTTGCCTCTAGAAAGATTATATCTGTGATCTTCATATTTGTTCCAGTGTACAGATGGATTATCTTGTGTTCTCTTTACAACATCTCTGTATTTGTAACATCTATTTAAGTAAGTCATATCTCTTTTTATGACTTGTTTTGTTGTCTGTGATTTTAGTCTGTGTTCTTCTACCTAAGTTTCTGTAGATTTACAGTTTACAGCTTAAAGCAATTTTATAGTTCAGATTTTGAAGAAAAAGAAATCCTGCCTTTTGGTGCCCTCTGGTGGACTGTCCAGTGTATAGTCTGTTTGTAAGCAAGGACCTTTGCTTTATTACATTCTTTTTTAAAAA